TAAAAAAATGGCATCTGTTTAGAAATAAGCTGTGCTAATCAGACATACCACCAGATTTCTCTGGGGGTCCCTGAGTGCTTTTTGAATTCTAGATAGGTGAGGATGGTACCAGAGGAAGATACATCACTTCCACATGGGGATGACTTTCATAGTTTTATGTCCACTTCTGTGACTATGACTGAAAATAGACTCATAGAAAAGTTAGCATTTCTAAGTTTTGGAATTCCACTTTTCTTTATCTCTTTAGTTTAGTTTATTGAAACTGTACCTAAAATAAAATAAAATAGTATTTTATACATTTGAAGTGGAAGAATGGAAGCAAGAATGTGACATTACTTTTAGTGCTAAGACAGAAACATTAGACAGAAAATAGGTTGTGCTAGAAGAGATGAAGCATGAGTGTTATGAGAGTTCCTGACTGTGTAGTAGTAGTGGGTAGTAGGTCCAGTAGGATATAAGGAGACACAATGCCAAGCAGGAATAGAAGGTACTTGAGGTCTGATGGGAAGCAGACCCACTGCAAATCGAGTATCAGAGAAGGAAGCAGTAGGGATTCTAACATACAGGTATCTTGCTGCTAGGTGAATGGGAGCAGCAGCACCAAAGCACCTCTTCTTCACTCTCAGGTTCTGAAAATGTACTGGGTCTGGCTGGGATGTTAACTTTCCCTGCAGCAGCCCATACAGTGCTGTGCTCTGCACTTGTAGCTAGAACAGCAGTGGTATCACACCAGGGTTGTGTCTAGTGCTGAGCATTGTTGGCACAGCATTAGGACTCTCTCTAACTCTTCTAGGGGGTGGGCAAAAAAGTGAGAAGAGAAACATCACTGGGGCAGCTGACCTAAACCAACCAAAGGGCTATTCCGTACCATGTGGTGTCACACTCAGCAACAAAAGGTGGAAATAGGAAGAAGAGGGGAGGGGTGGGCTCTCCTTGTGAAAATGTCACCCTAACACCAGCTGCATGTGTTGAGGCCCTGCTTCAAGGGCATGGTCAAGCATTGCTCATTTGTGGGAAGTAGAGAGTAATTTCTTTCCTCTGCACTTCCACATAGCCTTTATTTGTTTTGTTTGTTTGTTTGTTTTTGTTTCACTTTCCCCCTCCCTTCCCCCCCCCCTTTTTTTTCCCCTTTAGTTATATTGTTTAGTTAATAATAATCTTTCCTTAATAATAATAATTATTTCCCTTTAATTAAATTATCATCATCTCAACCCGTGAGTTGTTCTTTACTTTACTTCTTCCCCTCCTCATCTAAGGAGGGGGAGTAAGAGAGCAGTTGTGGTATTTAGCTGCCTAGCACAGTAAAACCACTACAAACATTAAGGTGTCCTAGCTTCTTGTTGCCCTGCAAGTATGGTTGGCCTGCCAGAGGTGTGTGATTGCTCTTAAGGTTTCTTCTGCAAGCCTGAATTTATCAATTCATTCTCTCCTCAACCTCAACACTAGCCTTATCTTTCCCCCAAAGCCTCTAAAACTCCACTTCTAGACTTCTCCTTGCAAATTCTAAAATCTACCAGTTATCCCCAACTTTTCAGAAGCATATACACATTTTTATGATTATTTTTAGAGCAAAAATCAAAGCATTTCTGAAGAGTACTGGGGGTTGTGCATCATCTGTTTCTTTCTTTTACAGAACAACTTGTGTCTAAAATCTTAATAATGCTCAAGGTGTTGTTTTTTTTTTTAAGTTTGTATCTTTATTTTTTTATTTTTTTTGTGGTGTTGTGAACTTCTAAGTAGTCTTTTAAGTGAAAAAAAAAACACAAAACAGTATACTAGCAACATCGTTTAGCTACTGGAACAGTACAGAAAATGAAATAAACTAGTGAAAAAGGCAATTAGATTTACAGCTAGCAAGTTAAATTCATCCTTTTGATGTCTTTTCCAGATTAAAAAATAATATCTCTTTTGTTCCGGTTTATTATAGTTGTCAGTAAACTGACTAATTAATTTAAAGTTATTTAGAAAAATAGTAAAGGTTTTGCTTCCCTTTTCCAGAGTTAGACATAAGATGCTAAGATCAAAAAATTAGAACAGTTGACAGCTATGGCAATTAGAAGAAAGCAATTCAGTATAAACAGTATAAATATAATATAAATGCAATATAAATAAAAACAATTCACTAGAAACAATATTTTCTTGTTTTCTTATTATGTTATTTTGTGTAAAGGATAAAGCCATTTTGGAAAATGTTAGTTTTTTAACTATTGAATATGATGTCAAACAGCTCTTTAGATTTCATACCAGATTACACATTATGATACACAAATTACACAGATTACACAAATGATAGAATACAAAAAAAAAAAAGGAATTTAAAATAGAGTTCTGTTAAGACTTACATTTAATAACATATATGTAGATAATGCTAGTAAACAAAAACAAATACTAAGTTTAATACAGTTGTATTTAGTTGCATACCAATGTATCATAATATTGATAATGAAGAATCAGTATTCTTTAAACGTTCAACTAAAAATAAGTATGCATTCTTTCTCTGTCCATGTTGATAGCTTTAAAAGCAAAAGAGTTTTAAGAATTAACTTATTTTGATTTACTTGGCTCAGACACAGTTAAAATTATTTATTAATATCACATTGATTTAAAATATAAGTAATGCAAATTTGCCGCTAAAGCATTTAAACAATGTGATAAAATTAAGCTAGGCACCAAAAATAATCCACTTAAAAATTTTCTTAGTTTTATAACCACTCCTGTGACTGATTGAAAATAGACTCATAGAAAGTTTTGGAATACCACTTTTCTTTATCTCTTTAGTTTAGTTTATTGAATCTGTACTGAAAGAACTCCTTCAAGGCTTAGAGCTACACAAGCATCCTTCATGATTTGAAACATTACAAGTAGTACCTGGTAACCCCAAGCACCATGCTGGATCACTCTGGGGAATTAAAATTTTAGTGTCAGAAATCTTACAGTATTCCTAATACATTTTTTAGTATTTTTTCCCTAAACTGCATCTGATACAGATTAAACAATAGGTATTTGATATTTGGAGTAATTTATCTTTATAGGAAAAAATTAAAAATAAGTTGCTTAGCTGGAAATCTCAGCCCACTCTTAACCCAGGAGTCCCTGTTAATGTGTCCAAAATATAATTGTCATGGTAAGGGTTCTACTGCAATACGAAGTAAAATTGACATAGAAGGCAAAGCAAAGGATATAAATAGGATGGGAATTTGAAATACGATCAAAGAACTAATAGGAGACTGATCCATTAGTTTAATGCTTGAATATAAGGTATTCATATATGTGTTATGTACCCCCAGTGTAAGGTGAGACAGGATTTCACCTGATTAGCATGTTTATATATTATCAGCAGGAAATGTTTTCCATTTAATCTCTCTTTGACTCAAGAGAGTTCAAGTAGAATAAACTTTATATGTATTACTCCTCAACATAATTTGAAAGCAGTAGTTAAAACACTATTCCAAAAAAAAAAACAAAAAAAACCTACTTGCGTCATTTAGATATGAGGGAGGGTCACATGATGCTAATTTATCTTTTAATGTTCTGTTCTTCACCTCATCATTGGACTAAATGGTTTGGAAAAACCTTGATGTCTTTTCAAGCTGCCTTGTGTGTGTGGGCAAAAGGCTTTTTTTTTTTTTTTCCTGAATATTTAAACACACTGAATGTTTGATTCAAGCATTGCAATTGATAAAATATTTGCAGTACATGTTGAATATAACAAGCCAGATTTGCAGTTAACTACTTCAGTACACCCAGTACAGCAGAGCAGCTCGCCTTATTTTACCTTGCAGATGCATTAATCTAGGGAAGTGATTTTGCAGAATTATTGTGTGGGCATTGATCTTTAGTGCAAACCTCATGAAAAGGAAATGGTAAATCTTGGGAATTTCCTATAAAAAAGACTGTGGGTAAGAAACCAAGCTTTTGCTGTTGATGTGCTGGTAGGAGTCCCTTTGAGAATTGCTGGGCACTGGATTTCCTTGCAAACATGTTGTCTGATTGTGTCTGCACACAGCCTGAAATGCTTACCTTTTGCAGTGGGAAACTTCAAACTGATTTTTGAGTTTTCTAACCAAGGGTATACCAGTGTTTGAAATATGTTTTTTTCCTCTTTTCCATGCACTTTGCCTAATTTCTTGTCCAATGTCATAAGAAATCTTATCTAATAAGTGTCATGTTTTCCTAGTTGCTACAATAAATAATTTCCCACAATCACCCAGACTAATTGTTTTGGTATGCTTAAGATTTGGTGATTAAGTGTTTTGGTATGTTTTTTATTTTTTGGTATGTTTTTTTTTTTTTTTTTGTAAAAAAAAAAAAAGTTGTTTTTTAGGAAAATTCAATGTTTCAAAAGGCAGTAGCTATATTTTTATTGTTTATTATAGCTGTATATGTTTTGTCATTTAATACATTTAATATATTAATAAATATATATATAATTATGGATTGACTTCATTAATGATAGAGAGCAATTGTATGCAGAAAACTTGACTTTTTTACTTTTTTTTTTCTTTTTTTTTTCCTGATGGCACATCCATATGTGCAGATATGGAAATCAGACGTAACACATGAAAACATTCAGCTGTTTATTGGGTGAAGTCATGTAAAAAATGTGGATCCTTCTTGCAGGAATAAATAATAAACCAAACAAACAAATATGTGGACTATTTGCATACTTCCCAAAATAACTTCTGTCTTACTTTCCCCAATATCACTTAAACAGAAGGTTAGTTTCTATTTGATACTTTTCCTCCAGAAAGATTACATCAATTCAAAAATCACTTAATTGGAAGTTTTATCTACAGTTTTGATTAGAAAATAGGATCAAAAGGATGTAGAGGAAATGTGGTACATACAGTTAACTGATTTCTCTTATATAGTGAATGGATTTTAGGATAACTGTTCCTCGTTATAGTACTTGTGGTTTTGCGATTCTATTGCTTTATAAATCCTTTCATTTTGAGTCTAACTTAGCAGTGTCATTATTCCTTATGATCCTTTTGATTCAGGATGCAGAATAGAAAACTGCGACTCCTGCTTTAGCAGAGACTTTTGCACCAAATGCAAAACTGGCTTCTACTCACACAGAGGCCGCTGCTTCAGAGGATGCCCTCCTGGATTTGCTGCCTTGGAAGAGCTTATGGAATGTGTGGGTGAGTCTTCTAGCACAGCAGTGCTGCTGAAGCTACTCCTTTGCCAGGTGGCCAGGTTCAAATGCTGATGACAAATTTTTTAGGCTGATGCTTAGCAGTTCCCATCAAGAAATATTCACTAATGGATTGTGTCTGGATCTCTTTCTCCATAATAATAATATATATATATATATTTTTTTTTTCCCAAACTTTGAAATAATGCATTACTGGGAATGCATCTCTTTTCTGCATCAGGAAGTTATGTCCCATGAATTATCTTGTAACTCAGAATTTGCAAGATTTCATGAAGGACATTATTTGCATTAGCATTTGAATTCAATAACATACTCACTGAATTCTTGCCCTCATAAAACTACCTGATCCTCTTGCCTTTCAAAAAGTCCAGAACCCAGCGGCAGGGCAGATTGAATTGCTGTAGCACCTGGGCTTCAAAGTCATTTTTAATTCCTCTGTAGCTCTCCACAATTCCATTTAGCAAATAAAGGGAAGCAAAGGAGGAGTTTGATATACCAGCTCATTTAAGTTGCTGTATGGCATCATCTATGCACACTGGGCATTCTACAACAAACACTGTTGGAGGGGGAAATAAAAAATGATGTATACAAGTCCTGTAATCGGGAAGATGTGTTGGTAGTCACATCCATGTGCAGGACAAATTAGAAAGATGAGAAGACCTGGAAGAGAGAGTAATAGAAGCTGAAGTTGGTCTTACGCATTTTCACCGTCTCTTGATGCAAAACCACGGTGAATATTCCTTTGCAGGCTCTGTAAAATATATAGCACTGAGATCCTGTCACCAGCTCAGAGCTCTATTTCCTCTCTATTTAATTTTATTTTATTTTATTTTTTTTCCAAATGTAAACTAGCAAATTAGTGTGTTTAGTAGAAAGTTGATTTATAACTTTGAGCCAACACTGGCAAATGCTTGAGTCTCACAGCTTGGTGTTTTACCTTGAAGCCTGGCAACTGTCAGGACAGACTCCTTTCAAGAATGGTCCTTGTATTTCATGGTAGGGAGGACCTAGAAACGTGAACTCTCGAGCTTTGGAAATCTAGTTGACAACTGAATCGGATTTATTAAATAAAAAGAGAAAAATGTAAATCAATCTCATGATTTTAGGAGTGTTTCTGAGTATTTGGGACTGACATGCTGTTTGTACAAGCAGATTGATAGTCTGACTGTTTTATGCTTGAAATGATATAGACTGAAATGATTCAGATTCTGTAAAATATTTTGTATCCAAGTTTTTGCTGGTTAGCAGAAAAGCTTTTAAGTGGTGCATTCTAGTGGTGCTTTTTTTTTTTTTTTGCAAAATTTTATACAAGAGAATGAAAGAACCAGAAGAATTGATAATGTGTTTTCTTTTTTGCTTTGTCAGAAGGCTGTGAAGTGGGTCAGTGGAGTGAGTGGGGAACTTGCAGCAGAAACAATAAAACATGTGGATTTAAGTGGGGCCTGGAAACGAGAACAAGACAAATTGTGAAGAAGCCAGCAAAAGACACAATACCATGCCCAACCATTGCAGAATCCAGACGGTGTAAAATGGCTATGAGACATTGTCCAGGAGGTAAGCCTAGACCACACCACAAAAATCTTTGAGTTTTCCTTAACTGAAATTCTATTTCTAACTTGAAAAAAAGAGCTGTTTCATTCCAGCTGAAGCAGAAACCCTGTCTGCTCTGCCAGATGAGGCTGAATGGCAGCAGTACTACTGCAGACCTAATTTGTGCAGCAAGACTTGAGGGAAAGGCTTGGATGGGAATGATCAGTCTCTCAATGGACTGTGAAACTGTGTTCTTCCTGGTCTATTTTTTCAAAGAGGTGGCTCATCAAAGAAATGGAACAGTTTGTAGATTGTGCTGCAGCTTAAAAACTATAGTGATTGTGAAATAACTAATTGCTCTGCACATTGTGAAAAAAGATCATGATTCTAAATCTTTCTGCAGGTGACACACAGTGCTGGTGTTATGGGTATTTAAACTAAATGAAGAAAATTACACATGGCATTGTTAGCTGGAACTATTAGCCGAAATGATACCTGTTCTGAATATCTTGTTCTGATCAGGGCCAAACTATGCTATATTTGAAACAAACAGAATAATGATAGACATCATGTTTTTTGGCATGAGACCAGCTTATGGCAATTACCATGAACAGATAAAAGAATCATATTCCTTTATTATAGTGTTCTAAGACTTAAACAGTGAGGCAACTTTGAAAAAGCAAATGAAGTTTCAAATTTTTCCGTTTTGTAGATCCCAGCTTGGAGACATGTCACTGGTGAGAGGTGTTTTTGTTATCTTTTTAGTTGAAATGCTTAATCTTTCACTTGTGAAGACTGAACATTTACAGTTTCCAGAATTTGGAGGAGAGGCGAGTGATCAGCAGGTGATAAAGATGCAATTTCTTTTGGAATTGTAGGATTAAAGGAAGATTCAGGCTCAAAGGGACATCAAGAGATCTCTTGTCCAACTTTCTGCCGCAAGCATGGTGAACTGTGAAATCAAACAAATCAAAAGGAATAAAGGGTGGTGGAGTCCTGAGCTTAAGCCATAACCCAAAGAATATGCTAAAATTAAATTAAATTTAGAGTAGGTGCATAAATAACTATGATTTATGTTCTGGTAGTTTTGTCTCTAGGACCCTGGTATCACTCTGGAAAAGAATATAAAGTTGATTCTCCAGGTTAACTGAATCTAATTTATACACTCTTCTTCCCTGTCCCACTCTCTATATTCACAGACATGTCCATGCATGCATATGCACTTACACATAAAGTCATAGTAGTACAGGGTGCATAGTACAGCACAGTTAATCTGCAACCTAAGTAAATCTCCCAAAGTCAGTCTCACTGAAGAGTTGACTATAATGATGTCGATTATTATTATTTTTTTTTTGGGGCGGGGAGGTGGAGGGTATTTCAATTGTGGAAATGAAATGCAAATACAATACTAATAGTCAATTGTAAGCCAACGAGGAAAAAAGAAAACAAAACAAAAACACACAAAAAACACATAACACTGGTGAACAAAAGGTAACGAAGATGACAAGTAAGCATCATTGTCACACTATACACTTTGAGTCTGATTCATGTTACATGCAGACTGACCTCCATGAGTAGCAGCAAAAGACTATAGAAATACCCTGAGCAAGTTAAATATAGCCCAAACAAGAGATTGTATGGACTTCTTATGTAACACCAAAATGATCTATTTTATATGTGATATACAGCCAATATAATCTTTTACATTATTTATATTTTCTAACACTTTGTTCTTACATTTTGAGTTTAATGGTTAATTTTCTAATATATGTAATATACAGTAGTTTATGTATTAAAAAAAGGAGAAAACTTTGGTTGTCCAACAGACTGGTTTTGGTATCAATTATTTTAGGATAAAAGAGAAGCGATGAGTCTAGAAGTGAGGTGTTAAAAAATAAAATAAAAAATGAACTTCTTTGGAGGAGGGAAGAAAAAAGGTAAAAATCAGAGCTGTTAGGCTGTTTTGGACTTTATTTTCTGGAAATTCAGGCTACAGATTAAAGATTTACCTTCCAAATTTTATGTTTTTGAAGGTACATAGAAGGCTTTCCTTAGAGTTAGGAAATTTATTCTGTAGTCTACACCAAGATCTTTGATCAAATCTATGTCTTTTTTTCAACATGTTCCAGAAAAGTTGTTGCTGCAAATACAAATACAGTGTGAAAGACTTCTAATATTCTTTCATAACTATTATTTCTAATAAGTCCTGAAGTTTATAGTTCTCTCCTGTCCTTCCATGGTGTGCAACTCTCTGTCTGTATTCTCTGAGATAAAATATAAATATGTACAAAACTGCAGGTTTGAACTCCCCACACTGAGTCCTGACAATTAATACTGATTCTGTACAATAATATAAATCACTGATCAGGGTATAAACTCCTTTCTCTCCACTAAGAAACTCCTGGGAGGAGATATGTTAGTAGTATTTTAAGTGCCTGGGGTAGGTTTTCCCCTGACCTGGCTACCTCTGCAGGTGAGAAACACTGAATTTGTCTTAGAATCTCTGGCTTTATTATATGCTTAAATTACAATTTTACACATAGTTGGTCCAAGATCCAATTCCTTTATCATATTTCATTTAGTTAGCAGGTTGCCCCTTTAGTCACTCAGAATGCTTCATTGCTTTCCTAATGATGGTGAAGTACCAGGAGGCAGACCTGTTTGCTACAGGGAAGCTCAAATCAAGCAGATTCTGGCGGTTAAAGATGAGATTCTGTCTTTAAAAATGCAGCATTTTCCTGATGTTAGAAATTTTGTAATTGAACTTTTAAACTGAGGAAGTAAGAGGGGAAAAAAAAAGCAAGGTTAGCAATATTTGATGACTGAAGAACAGTTATCCCTGTAAGTATCCGTTGAAAGGCTATACTAATAAATCCTTTTGTCCTAAATTTCTCAGTACGTAAACACACAAACATGTAGGCTGAGTATTGGCTGAGATGGTTATAGATTGTGATAGATTAAACTGAGCACAGGAAGTAAGGATATTTTTGGTAGAACAGGGTCAAATAAAGTGCTTGTGACATATGTTTTCTACTTCTGTACATTTTTACAGTTACTATTTATGGTCTGTATTACAGAAAAACTTCCAAAACAGATTTTATGCTTGCAAAAGTGGAGTTAAATTCAGTTTTCCTACTAAGTACTTCAGTTTCCTATTTATCAGGGATTAAGATGTTACCCGTCTGGCCATGTGGCTATAATATGAATCTTGTTGATAAAGAAGAATTCTTTATCACTTTCCTGGTATATGCAGAGTTATAGAGATAGAAGCTGGAATGCAAGTGAAAGATGATATCACTTCTTTCCTACTGAAGCCAGCAACATGTGAGAGGATACTCTAGTTGATTTCAAAGTAGATGTTACTTAGTAATATTTTCTTATTGTCAGTACTAATTGATTTAGCTGTTATTACCAGATGGGAATGTCACATTTGTATATCTGTTCATGTTATGTATGTTACCCTGTGGCTTGGGCGTAACGTGACTCATACTACAAGAAGTTAGACTTAGAAAAAGATGGCTTGGATCATTCAGGCCACCTCCTACCCATGCTGGTCTCTTCCTGACCAGGAATCTTCTAGTTTATAGCTCAAAAAGAAAGAAGGAAAGAAAAAAAATTAAACAGCGATTCATATACAAGAAATGGGAAAATTAGCAGCCAGAATTGTTCTGTGGGCTGATTCATCTTGTTGTCTTGAAGTTTTCCTGTATATTTATTATAATTTTTTTTTTTCCTCATATGTTTGCATGTTCCTTATGTTCTACACAGTAAATTACTTCTCTTTTGTTTGTACCCTCCAGGTACTCACAGATTGTTTTCATGTTTCGTATTAAGTATTACCAAGTCAAGTGAAACAGTTTTACTTTAAATATTCCACAAATATTATTTTACACAAAACGGTTATTTCCGGTAAAAAACACTATTCCATTTGAGAATGCTTACATCTTTCTCTCTTCATTTATGTCTGCATTAATTCCCTAATGGTGAAAGGGGGAAAGTAACGAGGTGGGAGGGAGTTCTTTCTTCAACACAGACATGTAATTAATGTAAAAAAAAAAAAAGGACTTTGTGCTATTTGATTTCATTTTGAATGCTTTTTATGCAGTAATCTTGTGTCTTCCTATTGCTGCAATAGAATATAAGACTTCTACAAGAGCACCAGTGAAAATACTCAATCAGGCTTTCTATCCTTACACTGTAGTTACGTTTTATTATTAATATGCAGAAGTTATGACTGAAAATATTAAAAGACAAAAATATGTACTTAAATACAGAGAGAAAATAAATGCACAGAGCTACAAGATGAATGTTAAAATGTTAAATAAGTAATGAAAGTTCTTTCAGTCAGGTAAGCTACCAGTGATGTGGCAAACAGGGAGTCAGTGATCCTGGTTTGCAAATATATATAAGATAGAACAAAAAAATATTCAGGTTAAAACTGTCCATACACTTTGATGAAGACATTAAGTAAGTAGACTTAAACTATGTTAAACCAGCATAATTTCTAATAGTAACAATGTTACAGGTATAGTTTCCTTTGTTAGATAAGGAAAACAACTTGTCTTTAAAACAATATTTTCTCTGAGAATGACTGCAGTAAAAATGATCAATGTCCTTGTCATTCTGCCTGTCCACCCCCCGTCTTGGTCCTAGCTACGTTTGTTCTCCTTTGAAACCTATCAAGGGGAATTTTCAAATCTCTGAATATTTATATATATATATATATATATATATATATATATATATACACATATATATATATACACACATATAAATATATATGGTTTAGAAGAGGCTAACTGAAGAAATTTTTGGTTGTACACCCAGCAAATCATTGGGTGAATCACTGGATAATACATTTTGGAAAAGACATAGAGGTCACATCCTGCTCAAAGTAGCGTTAGACAGTGTGGTCCAGTGCTACATTCAGTCTGGTTTTGAAAATATCTAAGTGGGCAGTCTGCACAACCTTTCTGGCCAAGCTGGTTGCAATGCTTTGCTAACCTCACATTGAAAAACTTTAT